TACCGAACTCGTAATCTTGAGGTTGCGGGTTCGGGGGTTCGAGCCGCGGGCCCGACGTTGTGTTCTTGGGAAAGGCACTTTACACGAATTTTCCTCACTTTACCCAGTTGGGAATGGGTACCCGACCATAGACAGCGAAAGGTCTTGTCAGTAGGTTAGTGTTTTAGCGCCTATAAATAGCCGCTTGCACTGTATGCTTCCCAGAAAGTTGAAGTTGTTCCAGAATGCTCTCAGGTCTGCTAGGGTAATAGTATAGATTGTGAAGCGCACAGAGCTTGCTGTTGAGCGGAGTTTAGCGCTATACAAAAGTTATCTATAATAAGTATAGGTCTAATAATATATGGTATACACCCCTTTTACGCAATGTAGATAATTTAAGAGACAAACGGACTGTAACTCTGTTTGTCAAGTTCAACCTTAGGCTAGAAAGGGCATTGTATCCCAGTAAAATGACGGAGATACCTGTACTTGATAGAATAGACTTCCACACGTGGGAATCAAATTCATTATTTCTAGCGTTCAACTGCATAAAGCCTAACCATTATAACATAGACACATGTATAATGGTAGTCGGTGCCATGTTGAACATCGCCTTCATGTTTTAAGTAACTTTTCTTTGTCCTTCTTCCACTGTCAAGAACTTAGAGATCTATATCTTCAGCAATCTGTTCAACAGTTGTTTGCTCAGAAAACGTTTTTTTTTCAAGAAAGAGAAGACACCAGGCTAGCCTAACCTTCTTCAATCGCAACTATCTCAACTTCTGTTCATTATACATTGGTTGTTGTTTTTTTTTTTTAGCATTAAAAGCAGGGCAAATGAACTGGCTTTAAGATTAACTTCACATGCCCCAAAAACTGACAAGCGCCTGATTTCATATCGCTGTGACATATTAATACAGCAACTGCACCAATTTCAACAAAACTTCGAACAAACAAATTCAACCAGGTATAAGAACTCTTCTATCATCCGGTCTTTGTGTTTTCCCCTCAGGTTTTATCACCAAGGAAGAGGCTGTGTTGTACGAAGACACGCATTGCCAATATCTCAAGTTCTGGGTCCCTATCATGTGGGCTAACAATATCTTGGTGACTGCTCGCAAGGAGAATAGGATACAGTCCGACTTTGGACTCCGGATGATTATACAGGTATATAAACTAAAGAAACAGTCTACTCAAATAAAATTTTAATGGTAAAATAATGGGGAGATATGTTATACGTTTTTACTTATTCTGAACCCGTATTCATCTTTAGCTAATGTTTTCAGTGTTCACCCTCATATTGATTATGCCCAAGTGGCGCCTCCCGATCTTTGCGATTGCTTTCTTTTTTTCCAGTTGGCAAAGAGTGCAGTCTTTAAACGAATGACGCATATTTACCTAGTTGGATGTTAGCCTCATCAAGACGTACTCATTGTTCTTCATATATTTTCTCTTGTTTATTCTGTTAAAAATTTCTCCTAAAGCGACAATATGAGAATGAAATTTGCAAATTATGTTTTGTCATCTGAACACGAAAGCGTCATTTTTTTAGGAATGGGAAGGGGAAAAAAAAGTAAGAAAACCTTTTCAAAACATGAATAAAATAAATACACGATATCGAGGAGACTAAAATGCTCAGGATAAAACCTACTAATCCCCCCCCCCCCCACAC